CCCGCAGGCTGTTCCCCTTGGCATGTGCGACGAGCTCTTGGGCTTCGCGATGGCGCTGCCGCTGGCATACACCGACCTGCGCGCAAGGATCGACACTTGTGTCATTGCGACCGATGCCAGCGAGCGCGCCGGGGGCATTTGCCACACGGCCGGGCTCTCGGCGCAGGGCGTTGCCTGCGCGAGAGGGGGAGCATCAGCAGTGACTTTGCGGCCTGGTGCAGTTGCGGCTCCTGTGCGTGGTGTGCGGTGGCGCCCTCGCATAGTTCTCATCGAGCTCTTCGCTGGCGCTGCTGGGGCCGCGGTGGCGGCCTCCAGACTCCCGATCGACGTGATGGCCCACGTCAGCTGCGAGGTCGAGCCCGCTGCCCGGCGACTGGTGCGTCGCCGCTGGGCGGGCGTGATTGAGCTTGGCAACATCGAGGCCGTCGACGCGGCGCGGTTTACTGAGATGCTGAAGGGCTACGCGCGGGACGCCGACTGGGTCGTCTTGACCGCGGGGAGCCCGTGCCAAGACCTTGCGAGCATCAATGTCGTGGGGACCGGCCTAGAGGGGTCGAGGTCGAGGCTCTTCTTCCGGGTCCCCGAGCTGATCCAGGCAGCGGAGGCTGCCTTTCCCAAGCGCACCATGTGGTTCGTCGAGAACGTGTTCAGCATGACCCTAGAGTCGAGGGCGGAGTTCACCAGGGCGCTTGGAGTCACGCCCGTGTTCCTCGATGCCAGGTGTCTCACTCACGTCAGGCGGCCCCGCCTGTACTGGTGCTCGTGGCCGGTCACGGCGTTCCTGGCGTCCGACGCCACCGTCGAGACCAAGGGTGTGGGAGAAGCCGCGTACTTCAAGGTCTCGCTTGCGGTGGAGAGGCTCCCACTGAGTGCCTCGCTCCTGGAGGGCTGGTCGACGCTGGACCCTGAGGCAGACCTCCCGTGCTTCACGAGGCCAATCCCGCGAAGCCACCCGCCGTTCCGGCCCGTGGGCCTCGACCGCGCCTCGGTGCTGGCCGCGGAGCGCTGGGCTGCCGACAGCTACCGCTACCAGGTCAACAACTACGAGGACGGCAGCCTCATCTGGGACGCGAGGCGTGAGCGGGGCCGGCTGCCCGTGCCTGAGGAGCGTGCTGCTCTGATGGGGTTCGACCGTCTCTATTTCCAGGCCGCTGTAAAAGATAGTGCCCCCGCCGCCGAGCGAGACAGCGTCATTGAGTCCCTGATCGGGAATACGTTCTGCGTCCAGGCTGTCATGTATCTTCTCGGCTCGTGGCTCGCTCAAGTGGGGGCGCTAGCGGCCGCCATCCCAGGCAGCAGCTGCCTCGCTGTGGGCACGTGCGAGGCGAACTGGAACGTGGTCCCCGACTTCCAGCAGCCGGGACATCACGACCCGCAGTTGGAACGCAGCCTGATCGTAGAGTTCCTGCGGGTCGCGGACCGCGGGGGCACGGACGTCCGGCTTGACACCGGGGCGCCCTACCGCGCCCGCGCGTGGCCGCGGGCAGCACTCCGTACGCACCTCTGGGCCTGGCGGATCGCCAAAGGCTTTCGCTGGCAGCGGCCTGGGCACATCTCGGCGCTGGAGCTGGAGGCTGCGGTGGCTGGAGCGCGCTGGAGGTGCCGGGCAGTTGAGAACCACCGCTGCCGCTACCTGCACATTCTGGATGCCCAAGCGATCGCGGCAGTCGGCACCAAGGGCAGATCGAGCGCGAGGGCTTTGCAGCCAGCGCTCCGCCGGCTCAACTCCCTGCTCCTCGCGACGGCAGGGTACCCGCTGTACGGCTACTGCGACACCGACGACATGCCCGCCGACACGCCGTCCCGCTGGAGCTTCGGCCGCCGCTGCCACGCTCCCAGTGCTGCCGCCGGCGAGGGCCAGGAGGGCCGCCCCCGGCAAGCGTGCAGCGCAAGCAGCAGCAAAGGTGAGCCAGGTCACGGCCCAGGCGATGGCGCGACGAGCTGCAGCGAGGTCCCAACCGCTGAGGGAGGCGATGGTCACGCCGCTCACCCTGCAGCGGTACCGTGCGGCGGTCGATGATGTCGTTGATTTCTGGATCCAGGAGCACCGGCAGCCGCAGACGCCCGCTCAGGTCGACGCTGGCGTGGCCGCCTTCATCGAGAGCCGTTGGCTGAGCGGAGGATCTTTATTTGAGATTAATAATGCAATCGCAGGCATCACGCACGCATTCCCGCCCGTGCGAGGGCACCTGCGGGACAGCTGGCGCTTGGCCAAGACGTGGCAACGCCTGGAGCCAGCTGGGCGGGCGCTGCCGATCGGGCCGCTGATTGCGGCAGCGTTCGCAGGGGCATTTGCGGCCGTGGGCCAGCTGGGCGCTGCGGCGGTGCTGGCAGCAGGCTACGACGCATTCCTCCGGACGGGTGAGATGACCTCGCTCGTGTGGTCCGACGTGCAGCTGTATCCACTCCGCCAAATGGCCGTGCTGCAGCTGCGCAACACCAAGAGCCAGCATCAGACTGGTGCCCGAGAGTTCGTGCTCGTGCGGAGCGGCGTAGCGGTCGCCCTCCTCGCCAGGGCAAAGGCTCAGGCGCACAAGCAGGACTTGTGCCTCGGGATGGAGCCAAGCAGTTTCATGAGCACCTTTGGCCGCGTGCGTGAGCTGCTGGAGCTGCAAGATGCGAAGCTCACCCTCTACAGCTGGCGTCGGGGCGGCGCGTCCGCCGACTTCCGCAGCCACGGCTCCATGGAGCAGACGCTGCTCCGAGGCAGGTGGGCCTCGGCGCGCACGGCCCGCTTGTATGTCCAGGATGCCGTCGCCGAGGCCACTCAATTAAATCTCTCGCCCACGCAGCGGAGGCGCTGCGGCCTGCTCGCGTCCCGACTGCGAGCAGAAGCGAGATGAACTGTTTCTTGCTTTGTACTGCCTGTCTGTCTGTCCCGCCCATCCTCCACCTTTCCTCCCTCATTTCATTACAGCAGGGTGGAGGAAATAGGTAAGAGCAAGAGGGAGCGGCTATTGCCAGGGTAGGGACCGTGGAGAGAGCTAGGGGGTTCAGGGGTTGGTGACGTTAACCTCCCGGCGGTGCAAGTGTGTCAGCTCGTCTGGGATGCAGCGCGGGTGCTTAAGCGCCACGGCTGTGCCAGGCGGGTTGGGAGGCCCTTGGATGCCGCTGACGGGACGGGACCTCTCCCAACTCCTGGGTTGACCCCTGAGTAGCCCCCAGAGGTCCTGGCCTGACAAGCTCCCTGGCGGAGTGCACAAAAACAGGTGTAGACAAGCATATAGTAACCTTCCAAGGAAGCCTATGCGGAGTCCACCTGAGCGTGCGCGACGCCGTTGATGGGGAACGGTTGAGTTTCATCCATCTTCCGTAGCTGTGTTGGCCCACCCACAGACAGGGGGCAGCATAGCTACCGTCTCGCGCGTGGCCGTGCCTGCCTCCGCGCGAGTGATTGCCAGGACGAGAGCTAGGGGGTTCAGGGGTTGGTGACGTTAACCTCCCGGCGGTGCAAGTGTGTCAGCTCGTCTGGGATGCAGCGCGGGTGCTTAAGCGCCACGGCTGTGCCAGGCGGGTTGGGAGGCCCTTGGATGCCGCTGACGGGACGGGACCTCTCCCAACTCCTGGGTTGACCCCTGAGTAGCCCCCAGAGGTCCTGGCCTGACAAGCTCCCTGGCGGAGTGCACAAAAACAGGTGTAGACAAGCATATATATATATATATATATATATGTGGCGCGATGAACGTTGTGCAATCTATGCTCTGCAGTATTTGTGGGGAAATATATGTTGGGCAATTCGCGTGGTGCAATCCGTGGCGCAATCCATGTTGTGAGCCGATGTAGTGCAATATATGTGGTGCAACTTGAGTGGTGCAAGTAATGTGTGCAATCATCGTGGTGCAGTCTATGTAGTGCAGTCGCAATCTACGCAGTGCAACATATGCTGTGCTATCTATGTGGTGCAATCTATGTTGTGGCATCTTGGCGGCGACGAGGCGGCGACGGGGCGGCGACGGCGGCCACATAGCCGCCAGACTGGCAGACAGGTCCAGACGACGGTCGGCGACGAGGCGGCGGCGGGGCGGCGGGGCGGCGGCCACATATCCGCTGGTGCGGCAGACAGGCCCAGACGACGGGCGGCGACGAGGTGGCGACAGGGCGGCGACGGGGGCCACTTAGACGCAAGAGCGGCAGACAGGCCCAGCTTGTTAGAAGAAAGAAGCCCTAAGTGCAATCACTGTTTTGGGGCATGCTCTAAAAACAAAAACACTGCTCTTGGAACACCAAGCCGATGTTTTCAAACACAAGACTGACTCGGCCATAAAGCTTATAGGAACATGTCTTGCGAATCACAAACAGCCATTCGACCATCCTTTTGGCAAGCCTATGTGAAAAGTCAGGACTTGGCGGCGAGCCTGGGTGGGAAGTGAGAAGGGGCGGGCCTTCAGAAAGCTCGGAAACAAACCTCGGGCCATCTGGGAAGCTTTCGAAGCCTTCCCGGAAGGTGCAAAACATCTCAGAAGAGGCGGGAGGGCCTCTGAGAAGAAACCGCCGCCTTCCCAGAAGGCCTTCTCTTTCTTGCGCCCCCCCCCGGGCGCGCCGCCGAATGTGGCTTTTGGGGTCCTACGTCGGGTCTCTGGCGGCCGTTCGGGGCGATCCCGGCACCCCCGGAACGCTCTCGGCGAGGCGCAGCCGCTGGAACGCACCCCGAGGGCGGAAGACCGCCGGGAAACTACGAAGACGCCCGAAAACCTGGACCCTCGAAGTGCCGAAGTTCGGACCTTCTCGTTCTCACTCCCCCCCTCGCTCGCCACCGAAGAGGCATCGCGTCTCTGGGGCCTCTGGGGCCCGCCAGCGGTCCCCAGAGACCTCGAGCCTCGAACCCCGAAGCTCTCGCTCCCGAGGAGGCCCTCTCCTCCTCGCCCCGCCCCCCCTCCCCCCTCGCTCGCCGCCGAAGGGCGCCGCGCCACCGCCCGAGCCCCCTGCCCTGCCCTGCCCCCGCATCCGAGCGCGAGCGGCGGCGGGCGGCGGCGGCGAGCGCGCGGGGCGCGCCGGCGGGCCTCTGGGGCCGCCACTCCTCCGCGCCCGCGCTCCTCCGGCCGGCCTCGGGCTCCCACTTCCGGGCCTCCGCGCCTGGCGCCGCGCCCAGCGGCTGCGCTCGGGGGGGGGGGGCGAGGGGGGCGAGAGGGCGGGGCAGCAGAGGCGCAGGGTTATACGATGCTCTGGCCCACTTTCAGAGGCCTGGAAAGGGGCACCAACACCAGCACAGGGGGTTGCTTCCACAGGGGGAAGACGGTCCTAGATTTCGGTGTTGGTGGTGATCTTTCGGCCACCTTGGAAGCCAGAATGTTACCACCATTACCGAGATCGGGATCTTCTTCCCTCGGTGGAGTTACGCCGCCGATATTGGTGTTGGTGTCAACCTCTAGGCCTGCGATACTGTAGCCGTGATCACAAAAAAGAACTTCGAGCACCGGGGAAGTACCAAGCTGTGAGGGCTTCCTGGTGTCGGGCCCTTCGCTAGCACGTCGGGCAGACACTGTTTGCATGATACCTCTCGGGGTGCTCGAATTTTTTTCTGGGAAGCGTTCCCAAAGTACGATGGGAATAGCATACGGTGGGGGCATTGAATAAGGAAGCATTGGATCAGGAACCCAGGGCCTGGAAGCCAGTGGAGCTCCAACCGCGGATTGGCAGCGGATCTCACCGCCGCCCTCAGCAGACAATTAAGGAACCCTGCAAAAATCTGAACACCCCCCCCGGACACATTCCTTGACCAACGCCCCCACCGTAAACGCTCCCGCTTCCGCTCCGCGCTTGGCGCCGAGCTGGGTTGCTCCGATCGGGGGGGAGGGAGCGGGCTCTGGAAACGACAGCGCCGTTTCTGTGCTGGCTCCGTTCTCCCGTTTTCGTTGCCAATTCCGACGCCGTGATTTTTTGTCGGTTCCGTCTTGCCGTTTGTTTGCCTGTTCCGGCTCCAGCTCCAATCCTGGAGCCGTTCTTGTTGCCGTTTCAAGTCGCCGTTTTTGGGCCGCCTCCATTTCCAAGAGGCACTTGACCGGAAACAGTGAAAGAACTGCCCTGCCGTTTCCAGGACCCACAAATGGGGGGCGACAGGGCGGGGTAGTAGAGCGCAGGGCAAAAAGAATCAGCAAACGCATAGCTGGTCTTCGTGTGGGCGTCCAGAGGCGCCCACGTGCATCGAGGAAGGGGCCCCGCGACGGGGCGGAAGCCAGCTGCACGCCGCAGACTCCGTGACCCCCCCTCTCCCTGTATCCCCCCCTTTCGTGCGGCCCGCTCCGAGGCGCGCGGCCGCAGGGGATCTAGGGGGCCAGATGCGAACCCTACCCCATACCCCCTACGATTTCTGAGGGGGGGGGTGGAGTTCACTTCGCTCGAGAGCTCCCGAACGAAGTGAACCCCACCCTCCCCTTCAGAAATCGTGGGGGGCAGGGGTAGGGTTCGCATGTGGCCCCCTAGGATCGGGGCATGAGGAATGGCGTATACACATAAACTTTGGGAGGTCCGCGCGGGTGTCCCGGATCGGCGCTGGAGCTTCCTGGCGGCGCCTCCGGCGCCGCAGGGAAGGGGGTCAAAGGGAGGTCCAGGAAATGCGCGCGGAGGCGGAGGAGGAGGAGGAGGAGGAGGAGGAGGAGGAGGAGGAGGAGGAGGAGGAAGAGGGGGAAGGCGACGTGCAGGCGTGAGCCTGAGGCCGGTGGCTCAAAGATGGGGCCGCGAGGGATGGGTGCGATGGGCCCCTGAGGACGAAGGGTCTCGAACGGTCTGAACTCATCACCAGCGGCAAACATGTCCGTATCCGCGCCCTCGCGGTCTGGCTTCTGGGGCGCGTTCCCGCGGATACGCGGTCGCACGAATACGTTTCGCGCGGGGCATCCGCGACAGAAACGCCCTGTGTCCGCGGGGTCGCGGCCCAGGGGCCTGGCCCACGAGGCCGCGGATAATCACAGAAGTGTTTCGCCGGCGAATGCAACCTGGGATCCACTCCTACAGTCGGGCTGCTGAAAGAAGGAACGTCAAATCAGGAACGAAGCCCCTTCTTGGCACCGAAAGAGCCTGTGTCAGTGTGTATATATAGATGAGCACCCCGACAAGCGAAGCCGTTTGGTAGTAAACACACCCATGGAAGGAGTCGAACAGGGCAGGGCTGCCTAGTAAACGCTCAGGGCCGCTTCGTAAACGACGACTATCGGGGTCGGGGTGGTTTTCCCCCGTGGAGTGCACGAGGGCGAAGAGGAACGGTCACGGAATGACCCAAGGAACAGCGAGCCCCCTCCGAACCCAGAGCGGCCCTCACTCGCCACCGCTCGGACGTCCATATTCCCCGGGCATACTTCGACTTCGGGCGCGCATCTCTCCTCAAGACGATCTAGGATGCGAGGCGGGAATTTATCCATATCCACCGCCGGGGAAACGACGTCCTGGTGCCCCGGCGGGCGGTGGATATGGATCTATTTTGGCCCCCAGGGGCCCGAACATGTCCATATCCACCGCCTGTGGGGGTCCGCGAAGATCGACCCCCCAAGCGGTGGTTGTGGATAAATTTCCGCCTCGGACAGGATGCTCCTCGATGGTCCTCGCCGAGGGAAGACTGCACGCGTCCGAGCGATGCCGAGCTTTGAGCAGGGACCGACCGTCCGGGCATTCCTATAGTCCTACCGCGAAACGTTCTTAGAGCCTAGATATGCTCTAAGAACAAAAGCAATGTTCTTAGAACACAAACCCGACGTGGTAAAACAAGACAGTCCTGGCCAGAACTATTCTAAGAGCATTTCGTGGGAACGTCACAAGGTTCTCAGAACATTATTTGGTAGGGCTATATGAAGGGGCCCACAAACACACAAACAAATACACACAAATAACAGGCATCCCCATATGCTTCCATATTTTCTGGGCTTCTGTCTGCCCCCCCCTTCCCATATTTTCTCAGATTTCCCTGGGAGTCGACGATTACTTGTGTCTGTGCGTTTCTTTGTAGGGCTACAGGCGAGCCAGGAGGAGGAGGAGGGACGAGGAGAAGGAGGAGGAGGAGGAGGAGGAGGAGGAGGAGGAGGAGGGAGGAGGAGGAGGAGGAGGAGGAGGAGGAGGAGGGGAGGAGGAGGAGGAGGAGGAGGAGGAGGAGGAGAGGAGGAGGAGGAGGAGGAGGAGGAGGAGGAGGAGGAGGGAGGAGGAGGGAGGAGGAGGAGGAGGAGGAGGAGGAGGAGAGGAGGAGGAGGAGGAGGAGGAGGAGGGAGGAGGACGCTTCGCCACTGCTCGAGAGCTCATTTGCCAGCGCCCCGACGCCGCCGCCGCCGTGGCCCCGGCCCTCGCGGCCCCCGCCGTGCACCGCCGCCCGGTAATGCGGGATAATGATTTAAAACAAATGGGTTTAAAAAAAACTGCTATTTCTGCACAATGTTCTGACTGGAGGAGAACGATGTAAAAAATACTCTTTTCCAGCCCGCGGCCGGTTTTTTCTAATCGTCATCCCGGGCGCCGCCGCGTGAACACGACCCCCGGGCATTTATTAATCGTCATCCTCCATTACCCGCCGGCCCCCAAGGGGCCGCGGCTGGGGGAGGGCGAGCGGGAGCTCGACGAGGTCGGTCGAGCTGGGTTGGGAGGCAACTGCTGGGAGGTGTTCGTCGGAAGGATTCAATAGAGGATCAAGGCCCATTGGGGGGCTGTTGTGCCGGAGTGGGCCTCGGATTGAGCGGGATGCAGCGGGAGTAAGCCGGGTTGAGCGGGATTAAGCGGCATTGAGCCGGACCTCGGACCAGGGCAAAATCAGAAGTTGACCTCCCAAGAGTTGCATCCGAAGCCGGGGGCTCGTCGCTGGAAAAAGAGAAGAGAGAGAGAGAGAGGGAGGGAGAGTCGGCGGCGAGCGAGGCGGGGGAACGAGGAGAGGGAGGGCCTCTCAGGCGGCGCCGGGGCTTCTCAGAAGCCCTCCGGCCTCCTGAGAGGTTCTGTGCTTTCGGGCAGAAGCTTCGAGCACTTCTCGGGAGCCCCTGGTGACTTCCGAGCCTTCTGAGGAGGCCCGCCCCTTCGGACTTCCCGCCCGGCCTCGCCGGCGGGAGAGAGGGAGAGAGTAGGGGGAAAACAAACCTACCTCGCTTTTGACCACCCTCGCTTCCAAGAGATACCAAACGATGCCAAATTGCAGCCTGTACTGGTCAGGCCGCTTGACGAGGAGGCGCGTGGTACGGCTTGGTTTTGCCTGGAAGCGAAAGCGGGGTAGGTACTGCACGCCTTGAGAGAGAGGGAGAGATGGTTGGCTGTTTTTGTTGTAGACGTCGTCTGGGCCGCAGCAGCCGCAAGAATACTTCAGCAGGGGCACCTCGATCTCTCCGATCCTCCCCCCGGCCCTCCCTCCTCGTGCCCAAATGCCGTCTCTTGGGTTCGGGGAGGGCGTCTTGCCCTCCCCCCCAGCCTCTCGACTGGAGCGGGGCTCCACCCCGCATGGTGCGGGACTCTACCGTAAGTGACCCGACACCAGCACGTCTTGCGTTCGGGGAGGGCGTCTTGCCCTCCCCCCCAGCCTCTCGACTGGAGCGGGGCTCCACCCCGCATGGTGCGGGACTCTACCGTAAGTGACCCGACACCAGCACATTGCCATGACAGCGCGTGAATCCCAACTTTGCTGTGGCGAAAAATCCTAGCGGGGCAATGGCAATGGCGAGACCCAAAGAAATCTCACAGTAAAGCGGCGATGGCGCGCTTTGGTGACCGCGGTTGAGGCAAACGCCCCACCCTGGCCAGCGCACGGTTCCTCGACGCCGTTTCACAACAAACGAATTCTGGTCTTCACAGTTGCCTGTCCCCGATGCCTGAAACAAGTGGCTGTGAGATCCCACCTCGCACCAACGACACACAAGTCTGGCTTGTGTGCCTCAACCAAAGGCGGTCTGGGGGGTCATGTTCGGCGTCTATGCTGGGGCGCCGGTCGACATGGTGTACGCCTTGGGCGGGGAGTGCTTGGCAGCGTCCAGCCCCATGTCTTCCGTCTGCTCGTCGATTCGCAGCTTGCCGGTCATCTTGAGCACGAAGAAGGTGGCACCGGAGAGGGTGCCAGACCACAAGATGATCGCGAGAATCATGACTATGTGGGCGGCGAGCACATTGCCAGTAGCGTAGTCGTCGCAATTCCCCGTGTCTGGGTCGACCGTGCAGCTGAAGCCACTCCAGCCGTGGAAGTGCGTGAAGCCGACGCCCCAGTCGAAGAAGAACGCGGCAAGCACGCCCCAGATGCCGCAGGCGCCGTGGACCGGGACAGCGTCCACCGGGTCGTCGATCTTGAGCTTCTGGAGCAGCATGGAGCATCCCTGGTACACAAAAGCGCCGATGAGCCCGATCATGAGGGCACTGCCGGCCTCCACGTTGCCACAGGGGGCCGTGATGGACACCAGGCCGGCCAGGATGCCGTTGCACAGGCCGCCCACGTCGTAGGTGTGCGAGATGATGTACCGCAGGAAGAAAACGGTCATACCACCAGTCGCGGCGGAGATCGTCGTATTCATGGCAACCTGGGCGGCCATCAGGCCAGCGCCCTCGTTCATCGAGAGGGTGGAGCCGCAGTTGAAACCATACCAACCGAACCACAGGATGAAGGTGCCCAGCACGACAAGCGGCAGGCTGTGCGCGTCGAACTGCTCGGGGTGCTCGAAGCGGCCCTTTCGTGGTCCCAGCACGATGGTGCCTGCGAGCCCGGCAACGCCGCCGGTGAGGTGCACGATGCCGCTGCCCGCGAAGTCGATTATCTGGGCGTCGAACAAGTTGCTGAGCCACCCGTAGCCCCAGGTCCACGCGACGACCACAGGGTAGATGAAAGACGCCATCACGAAGGCAAAGACTGCGTACGTGGGGCTCAGCACGCGCTCGGCGACAGCGCCGCTGACGATGGTCGCGGCAGCAGTGCAGAAGGCCCACTGGAAGAACCAAGAGAGAGCAACGCCATTCGATACGATGGCCCCCTCAGTTTCGTAGTTGTTGAAGTCTTTGCCAGCAAAGCCGTCGGTGCCAATGAAACCATTCCCTCCTGTTTCCACCTGGGGCGTGTGGTCATCAATGCCGTAAGCAAAGGCCCACCCGAACCAGTACCATCCGATCGTGCCCATGCACACGTTCACGAGGTTCTTCATCAAAACGTTCGACGCGTTCTTCGCCCTGCAGCTACCCGTCTCAAGCATGGCGAAGCCTGCATGCATGAACATCACCAGCGCGCCACATAAGATCAGCCAAGAAGACGTCATCGCGCTCTCCGTGCCGGTCAGGCGCCGGTCCGTGTCTGCCGCCAGCTGCTCCGACTCCAGGCGCCGAGCCTCCAGGCCCGCGCGCAGCTCCTCGTGCAGCTCCGCGCGCAGCTCCTCGCGCAGCTCCTCGCGCAGCTCCGCCACGTCCGCGCGCAGCCCCTGGGGGCCCGGGGCGCCCGCTGCGGCCGCGCCCGTCGCGAGCCAGAAAGCCAAGAGGCACATCGGCGCCGCCATCGTCGCGGTGCGCCAGCGGCCGACCGCTTGCTGTGGGCGCCAGCAGCGTGCTCCTGCGTGCCGGGGAGAGCTGACAAAAAGAACGGCTCGAGCCAAGGTTGTTCGGCGGAGGGACTGCCTGGGGCCCCTGCCGCAACTGAGGGTACGGGTACAGTCATCGTGCTACCATAGGGAACGCAACGTGAGGAACGCAGGAGCTTGTGAGTATCGTTTGACCGATCACCATCCCCAGCGCGTGGCCTGGGCCCCGCTGGCCGATCTACCCCCCCCCCAGATGGGGATATGTGTCGTTCCCTTCGGGCTTCGAGGATTGTATCCCCAACTGAGGGGGCAATTTGGTGGGGGCCTCGAAGGGGACGGGGATGGGGATGGGGATTGGCTACAAACGACACCGAGCTCTCCTGGCCGCGGCGAGCCTCGGCCACGAGCGAGCGAGCGCCCCGACCCAGCTCCAGGGAACCCGCCCCGACCGCCGGAGCCCCGTCCTGCACCCCGCGGGGCTCTTGCTCTGGCGTCTCGCCTGCACGGCTCTCGGTGCTGCGCCTCGCTCCGGCGGCAGGCGGGTCGCTGCGCGGGGCCGACGTGCACGCGGTGTCCCGGCGAGTGCCCCGCGCCGCTGCCTCGCGCCAGGCCGCGCTGCAGAGAACAGCTGGAAAAAGTGCGGTGGGGAATTCGGTACAAGTAATTGCTGGCCATGGGTGGGAAAGGCGGCGAAGGCTGGAGCGAGACCGAAACAGGCAGGGTGGGCTGGAGAGAGTGGGAGAGCTGCCCCCCTCCCACGCACATACACGCGTACACACACACACACACACACAAACGCAGAAACACTCAAACACGCACACGCACACGCACAAACACACACGCACACACACACACACACACACACACACGCACACGCACACGCACACGCACACGCACACACAGACACACTTGTTCAGCTTCCCTGTGCACTACAGGTCACGCCCTTCACCACCTCGCACCGCGCATCCGCCGTCGCCCTCACTGCGTTCCACACACGCGCGCGCGCTCCATGACGAGCCACCGCGCGCGCACGAGCGACCGCCGGTCCTGGCCGCACGCGCCAGGAGCGAGGCTCGGGACCGAAGAGCTGTCGCCACTGTGTGGGAGGGGGGGGGCCAGCGACGCCCGTCCTCACGCCCCGACCAGCCACAACCGGGGGAGCTGTGTTCCCCTAGAGAGGACATGATGACCATACTCATGACAGGCAGCCCTGCACGCGAGGCCCTTCAGTCAACGCACCCGGGGAAGGAATCGAATCGAGCAGGGCAGCGCTGGTTAGCAAACGCCCAAGACTGTTCAGCAAACGCCAGCTATGGCGGTCGGGGTTTCCCCTGCCGTGACCCTCACCGTCCGAGGAGATACGGAGCCGAACTCTATACACCGACGCTTTTCCAGGCCACCCGCTGAAATTCGCACATGACGGCGGCTCCTGGTGCACACGGGATCCTGGTGCATGCATTCTTCGTCGTCTCCCCGGGAAGACGGGGAAACAAGTACACACCACACCACCCCGACGTCGTCCCCGACCATCAAGAACGAAAAGCAGCCCGACACTGGTAATATATATATGCTCCAGTTTCCGAGGAGAGGCCCGCCACATCGATGACTTCTCGGGGAGCGCACCGGAGATGATGGGCCCCTCAGGGGGCTCGAGGACCACAGCTAGTTGTAAGTCCGGCGTGTCCCCCTACAGGGGGATTTTCGACGAAAAATAACAAGTACTTAAAAACTGCTCCAAAATGGCAGGAAAATACTCAATAAATAGTCCCCATATTATTTTTGTTGACTATTTTTGAATTTCCCCCCTGTAGAGGGACAAGCCCGACTTCAAGCTAGTTCCAGCTGTGGCCGCTCTGTCGCCCTCCGTCCTCCCCTCACCCCCCCCCTCCGTCACCCAGAGGAGCACCTTAGTGGGACGAGGGGTGAAACGGAGGAGGCAAGGATGAGGCGATGCAGGGGGGGGGGGATGGAGGAGGAGGAGGAGGAGGAGGAGGAGGAGGAGGAGGAGGAGGAGGAGGAGGAGGAGGAGGAGGAGGAGGAGGAGGAGGAGGAGGAGGAGGAGGAGGAGGAGGAGGGGGGGGACTAGGAGGAGGAGGAGGAGGAGGAGGAGGAGGAGGAGGAGGAGGAGGAGGAGGAGGAGGGGGAGGAGGAGGAGGAGGAGGAGGAGGAGGGGGAGGAGGAGGAGGAGGAGGAGGAGGAGGAGGAGGAGGAGGAAAACGAGGCGCGGCCGGCGCAACCGCCTTCGGACCTCCACGTCGCTTTCCCTTGGGCGCCACGGCCACCTTCGCTCACCCACGGCGCTTGCAGGGGGGTGCGCGCGGGGGCGGGAACGGGGCACGGAGAGAGTCGGGGAGGCGGAGGGAGGGAGAGGACAAAGGATGCAGCAGGGCGCAGAAAGCGGAGGGCAGCGGGCGCGCGGGCGGGAATCGGGAGCGGGGGCAGCGGGAGAGAGGGGGGGTCTCCTCGGGCAGCGGGGAGTGTGTGCACACTGTGTCCCCGCCCAGATGCCACTCTCCCCGCCGTCATCCATGAGCAGAAGGATGATCTACCAGATGAGGGGGGGAGGAAGGGGAGCAGGAGGAAAACGAAGAAGAGCAGGAGAAGGAGGTGAAGAATCATGAGGAGTTCGTCAATGTTGGGCGAATTCGAATGCCCCTCCTCGCAACCGCCCGCCCAGCTTGGCGGCCCTGCGCGCCCCTATCACATGTTCCCAGCCGTGCAGACCACAAACTACCCCAACACCAGAAAAAGGCAGAACGCAAGAGCAGATGCACAGCCGCGACCACCAAACTCGAAGCCAGACCTCCGGCGTCGCGACCAAAAAAACTTGTGGCGTTGTTTCGCAGTTCCAGCCTCCAGGGGCCCACCAAAAAAACGGTCTTGGGACTGGGGTCGAGGGTACAGGGCAGGTTTTAATGCATGGGATTCTTCAAAACACCGGATTTTTCATACATGAGTAATTTATGAATAAATCAATGCATTCACTCCTCCTCGTATGTCTTAATCAACCCTTTATTTTTAATACATGGTCCGCACGCGGAGCATGTATTCAACGCGGCACTGTACTGGGGCGTGCACCACACCTGGCCGCGCCTCGGGGCAACCTGGGTGGCTCGCCACCACGGCCTGCACGCGCCCCTGCTTGCAAGCTCGACGCACCCCTACCTCTTCGGCCTGCCCGCGGATGAGAGGCCTGCGCTCGGCGTGTCACGGCGGCGGCCCGGGTGGCACGCTGTGCTTGGCAAGCTGATGACGCGTCGCTCCGCGCCTCTGGCGGGGGGGCCAGGACAGGCTCGGAACCGCTGTTGCCTGGGCCCTGGGATGTGCTTGGCGTGCCGCGCCGAAGCGCGGTGGGCCAGAACCGGCGGCGCGACGCGCAGAGCACAAGTGCCTCCACTCTCGCCATCTTCCTCTGTCCCTTCCTCCCTCTCCCTCCCTCTCTCTCCCTCTTTCTCCCTCGCTCCCTCTCTCCCTCTCTCTCTCTCTCTCTCTCTTTCTCTCCCCCCCCCCCACACACACGCACACTGTTGCGGCTGTGTGTTCTCTCACTTGTTATTTCTCTCTATCTCTCTCTCACTCTCTAAACATATAATTTATACATACATATACATATATGAAAATACGTAGATATCACACACTCTTTTGGTATACACCTGGCATCCTTCTCTCTCTCTCTCATTATCCTAGCCTGTGCCATTTGCGGTAACAAGGTCAAACGCCGTGCTCTCGATTGGAGAGAAGCGATACTGGCGCCACCGCCTCATGCTGCCACTATGTTATCGCCGCTGAGCACTGAGATATCTGATCCGAGACGAAGGCAAAATGTCGATACATTCGAATCGAGACAGATCGGGAATCTCTGAGAGCTGGCCGGTCTGGAGGTTGTACTCGGCGCCGCGACCGCTTCAAAGCGCTCCAGAACACTCCGAGATGGCGCCAGAACGCTACGAATCGGTTGATATGCATCCCGCTTCTTTCACGGGATCCGCCGGCCCCCTTCCGGGGCCACCAGGCTGCGAGGATGAGGACTGCAGCTCCCCGTTCCAGTTGCAGTTTCCAGTTTCCACTGTTCCAGTCCTGCTTTCTGCTTCCTTACTGCTAATTGTTGCTGAACGCGCGAGGGGTGAAGCCCCAAACCACATATTTTACCACGCCCATATCGCGTTGTCTGAATTCCTGGGGCTGCGTGAGACACGTCAAAATACTTGATATTCGCGTCCCCGAGGCCATAACCCGTAGTAGATTGCACCATATTCGCGTCCCCGAGGCCATAAGCCCTCTTAAATCCGCCGCCCCTGTCGGCGTGTGGGGTGTCTGTCTGGTCCCGTCGACGGGACGCCTTTTCTGTTTATCCTTCCCCGTCGGGGGTGAGAGAGCACTCTCCCGTCGTCTGGGGGAGGAGTCCGGGAATTGAGGAAAATCGACCCACGTCGTAGTCACGTCAAAGGGAAACCCCCTCCCTTTGTCCCTTCCCCAGCAGGGGGGGTCCCTGGGGGAGGGGGGGGGTCAGATTCGCATCCCCCGTTGATTCCTATCCCCCATCTGCGGCTTCTACAAAGTGGCCCTCTGTAGATGCGCTGGAGGAGGGGGGGGTCGCCACGACGGATCCGCAAGAGCGCCCCGAGACGGCCCAAGCCCGACCAGACAGCCCAAGAACGCCTAAGGACGGCCAAAGGGGGCACCCAGACGGCCAAAGGACGCCGCCCAGATACATTTCCCCCTCGAGCGCCCCCGAAACCATGAAGAGCTGTTTCCAAAAGACCCAGAATGCCACAACGCCTCCTCCTCCTCCTCCTCCTTCTCCTCCTCCTCCTCCTCCTCCTCCTCCTCCACCACCTCCTCCGCCTCCGCCTCCGCCTCCGCCTCCGCCTCCGCCTCTGCCGCCGCCGCCGCCTCCTCCTCCTCCTCCTCCTTCTCCTTCCCCTCCCCTGCTCCCCCTCCTCCTGCTCCTCCTCTGCCTCCTCCTCCTCCGCCTCCTCCTGCTCCTCCTCATCCTTCCCCCCCCTTCTCCAGCCTCATCCGCCTCCTTCACCCTTCCTCTTGCCCCCACTCCTCCTCCTCCCCCTCCGCCTCGTACCCCTCCCCGCTCGTTTTCATCTTCGTCGTATTCAGGGTCGGCGGCACCGGCCGTAAGGCCATCGCAATTACACCATACTCGCGTCCCCGAAGCCACAATCCCTGGTAGAGCACGGAATATTCGCGTCCCCGAAACCATACACCCTCATAACTTACACGATATTCGCGCCCCCGGGACCATACACCCACGTAAATAACTGGATACTCGCGTCCCCGAAGCCATATACCTGTTGTAAATATAAACCTCCGTAAGATACACCGTAGTTGCATCCCCGAGGCCACAAACGTTCACACATGACATAGTATTCCCGTCCCCGAGGCCATAAACCCTTGTACATTACATAGTGTTTGCGCCCCCGAGGCCAAAAACCTTTGTACATTACGCAACAGCTGCGTCCCCGAGGCCACAAACCCTCGCACAGTACGCAATATTCGCGTCCCCGAAGCCATAAACAATTGTAGATTAGCTAATGTTCGCGCCACCGAAGCAGTAAACTTTCGTAAATCAATATTGGCCCTCGCGTGAAGTCCCGACATTGCTTCACGTCAGCGTCCAGACATTCCAACACAGCTCTGGCAAGTCCCATTCTAAGAGAGGGGAGCCGGCAGCATGGAGGCGACGCCCTTATGGAAAAAATGAATCGCTCTACGCCTTCAACTTCTTCATGCTTTGGGCAGACCTCTGAGCGCTCCCAGAACGCTCCAAAAACCTCCGAAGATCCCTATTCACGTGTTAGTTACTCCCGCGCAAGCAGGCGTGCAAAGAGAAGGCAGCAGGGCCACCTGCTTTCCAGCTGGAATCGCCGCGCCACCAGTCCGAAGATTTGTCCTTGCGGCCAGCACCCTTGGAGCGCCCTCATTGCCCACCCGAAACGACGTAATGATGTCAATCATCGGCGACGGCGACCGTGCACGTAAGAGCACGTTCAGAGGGGGCGCCAGCTGAGTCTGCCGACTCTGACGACGGGAGGCAAAGCGGAACAGCAGCAGCAGCAGAAGGGCATAAAACGAGGGGGATACGAAGATGAGTCGGGGAGACGTAGGACTCGGGTACGGGGGGCTCGAGTTGGCCTGACGGGGGCCATCATAAAAGCGACGAGACCCCATGCGAAATTTGACCCGGGCTCCCGCTGCAGACATCCCACGAACACGGGACCGTCAAAATCCAGGACGCGCTCGTCCAAAAAAAGTCGGCAAACCCGAGTTCCGGCTTACTCGAGCCTTACTCGGGCGTTTTTGCTGCTAGGACTAACCTGGCGCTTCGTGCCGCAGCTAGCCGTCTGAAGGGGGGCTATAGGGGCACACTGAGGGAGGTGCCTCGCCTTAGTCCACACAGTCTCCAGCCAGCGGAGAGCTGGCCTAGAGAGCTCGCTCCCAGAAGGCATCGCATTCCCACGGCAAAAGAGAACGCGACGCTTCCCCAAGAGCGAGCTTCACGCTATCAGGATTCCTCGCGCGGGACAGGAGCGAGAGGCGGTACGCAGCCGTGCGATTCGCGGGCGCCCCACGGCAAGCCTCGACCAACCTGCACCCGAACTGGGTTTAGTGGGACATGGTTTAGTGATGTGTACCGGGGGGCGACCCCCCGCCCCATTCCACTGACCGGAATTGCCGTAACCCGAAAAGCATCAGCCACGGCAGACCTGGTTTAGTGATTCCACCAGTCCATATCTTGGGCTTCGGGGACCAATCACTAACTGGCGCCCCTTCACCGGGGTCCTGGCTATACCCGAACTCACGTTTCCCCGAATCGGCGGTGGACAAACCTCCCTCTAGCAAGCCTCCCCTCAGTGAAAACGGCCTGGGACCGAAACCGACGGACCTGGACCCGCAAAACTGACCGCCGAGACGCCCTCCCGCGGACCGAAGACGGCCCATTCCCGAATCGACGTGTCAGGGCAGGAGGTCTGCCCACCCCCGACCGAAGGAGGGGGGCCCGCGAGGGGAGGGCGGCCGAGGCGCAGCCGCAGCAGGCTCCGGAGCAGCGGGAGCAGACGAGGGCGCGGCCGCGGAGGGCAGGAGCGCAGAGGGAGGCACCGCGGGGAGCGGCGCGCGGGGGGCGAGGGGACCCCGAGACCCCGCGCGGCGACAGGCGTGCGGCACCGTGAACAGGTCCCGGGCAGAGCCCTGGACCCCACCTGTCGGCGCCAGGTCTCGAGGCGGGCGTGTGTCCCCCTACGAGGAGGAGGTTCGACGAAACGTAAACCGTACCCCAAAAATACTCCCAAAGGGTGAAAAAGTGCTCCAAAAAATGGTCCCAGGACTAATTTTCTGACTATCATTCCCCCCAAAATGCTCCAAAAGGGTCAAAAGACATTCAAAACATTGTCCCCCGACTATTTTACTATTTTTTTTTTACTTTTTGGGGGGATCTTCCCCCTTTCGAGGGACAGGCCCGAGCGGCGGGCGCAGGGGAAGCGGCAGGCAGGACGACGGCCCCGCGTGCACGCGCCTCCGACGGCGCCCGGGCCCCAAAAAGCGTCTGCCTCCCTCTCTCGGGGCCGCACGCCCTGGAGGCCCTCCGCCGGCCCTCCGCCGCGGATAGAGGCGGCAGCAGCTCCCCCATCTGCCCTCGAAGAGGCAGGGCCCCCGCCGGGAGCGCCCCCCCCACGGGCAGGGGCGCGCCGGCGGCGGCGCGGGCGGCGCGGGCGGCTCCGCCCGCGGGCCGGCGGCGGCACACGCGGCGGCCCCGCGGCGGCGGCGGGCGGGCGGCGGCGACAGGCGGCGAAGGGCGCGTCCTGGCCGCCGCGCTTGCCGCCCCACTGGCCGCCGCCCCACTGGCCGCCCCCGGACTGCCCCCACCAGCTGTCGCCGCGGCCCGTCGCCCGCCGCCCGCCTCGCCGCGGCGCCGAGGGGTCCCTCGGCCTCGCCCTCTGCTCCCAGGCGCCCTCTGCGCTCGGCCGCGGCCGCGTCCCGCCGTTCGGCCGCCGTCCTCGCGATCGCCCCTGTCTCTCGCCCTCTGCAGCCCAGGCTCGACCTCCTCTCCCGACCCCTCGCCTTCGTCCTGAGCCCTATCGCCCGTCGCGGCCCTCGTCTCCCAGCCGCGGCCTCGTCCTCACTGCTGCGAAACGTCCCCGCCTTGGTCTCATCTGTCCCGGCTCACCAACCACCTTCATATCCTGCTTCTGCTGCTCCCCGTCCCCATCCATCTGTATACAGTGTATGAATGTACATGCTGTCCATATTGTCCATGGTGATCCTCTTATCTCTACGCCACCACACCCTTTCTTCTGTCCGCCTCCATCACTCCTCTACTCCCTCCCTCCTCCAAGACTTCCTTCCCGCCCTCCTTGCCCTCCGTCATTATCCCTCCTATGATTCGTCTTTCACATCAGCGTCACCATTATGGGCTGCGTTTACAAGGATTCAAGGATATAGCTAACCAACTATGACGAATCGGCATACCAGTGACGAACATCTCAAGAGCGGTTTCCGATGCAATGGCTTGAGCTTTCCCGCGGCCGTGCGTCAGCAGCAAATGTCGCGCATGTTTCATACTTCACTCTCCTCAAATATCCCGCTTCCTCCTCGCTCCCACGATGGGAGGAAGACTGATGCCGAAGCGCATGAGAGTGCGGGACGGAGGCCCAGACGTGAGACGTCCTGGGTTTTTCAGTGCGGCGCCCCCAGAAATCAAGACCCTTTCCCCGGTCCCCGGGGCCGGTCTTTCATCCCGCGTCGTCTCTTTTCTGGTTTTTCTCCGCGCGATCCTGTCTCTGGAGGGAAGGAGAGGAGGAGGAGGAGGAGGAGGAGGAGGAGGAGGAGGAGGAGGAGGAGGAGGAGGAGGAGGAGGAGGAGGAGGAGGAGGAGGAGGAGGAGGAGGAGGAGGGGGAGGAGGAGGAGGAGGGGGAGGAGGGGGAGGAGGAGGAGGGGGAGAGGAGGAGGAGGGGAGGGGGGAGGAGGAGGGGGGGGACCCCCCCCACCCGACAGAGGGGCGGAGAGACGGGGAGGGCGGAAGGCTGCATCCGTCGGGGGCGAGGGCCTCCGAGCAGCTCGCCTCCCGCCCCCGTGGGGGCCCCGGAGGGGCCTCGGCCTGGCGCGCGGGGGCCCCGCGGCCGCAGCACCCCCCTGGACGGCGCGGCAGGACGCCCGCCGGGCCCGCGAGCTCGGGGGCGGCCGAGCGGCGCGGCGGCCGAGCGGCGCAGCCTCCCCAGACGTGCTCGCGTCGCACACGAAGCAGGACGGCAAATGATTCGTCATGTTCGGCCCCCGGGGGCCCTCGCCGGGCCCCCAGGGGCCGTCAAGGAGCAGCGCGGGCTGCAAGACCGGCCCCGGAGGAAGGGTCTGGACTGCTGGGGACGCCGCACTGGAAGAAACAGCACGTCGCATGTCTGGGTCGGCCCTGCGGCAGGCGCGACCGGCGGCGGCGCAGCCCCGGCGACGCACGGCAGGTCTGGCGGCGGCGAAGGTGCTGGACGCGTCTGCAAGCAGCCGCCGCGCGCACGGGGAGAGCGGCCCCCGCCGACGCCCTCGCGACGAGCGCTGCCACCGCGACGACCCCTCCCGACGATTGGACGAACAGCGACCTCCCGGAGGTGGGGTGGGGGGACCCGCAGAACCTCCGGCGATCACCGCCTGCAGCACGGTAGGGCACACGAGCTGCACACGTGGGGGCAAGCAGTCAGCGAGCGGCCCCCGTGTCATGCATGACATCGGGGATCAACATCGCGGCCCCGAAAACTACAGCCAAAACGTGTATCATTAAGGACCTGTGGCACGGGCGCAGGAGGACCTTGGAGGCCGACATCGGGACTTTTCTGGGGCGGCGGGCGGCCCGTGAGAACAGCAAAAAAGGAGGGCCCGCAGAGGCAAGAGGACACGAGGGCATCCTGGATGAAGGCGCGCGTCCTTACTGGGCACGTGGACTGTAGCGATGGCCTCGGACTCGAGCAGGAATCCGGGGGTCTGGGGGGTGGAGGGTCACGGGGATTAGGGGAGACCTCCGGGATCTCACGGGGCAGCGGCCCCAGTGCGGATGGATCGCGAACCCCAGAGGTGGGGAGCGGGGGGGAAAGCTCTCCAGGATATCGTCAGCAGTTGTGCTGAAACACGTTTGATGATCATTTCTCATGCAGGTGATGAGATCGGAATGTAAAATGAGATTTAAATGAATGTGTGTGTTCAATTGCGCGTTAGATGCAACGATACACTACCAGTCACTACCATAGAAATCCTAGAAACCTTGAAAACTCCGACCCCGGACAGAAAACCCGAGAGGGCACAGGACTCTTCCGACGGCAACGTGGCCCCAAAACAAACGTCAAAGGACGTGCGGGCTGCACAAGTCGGGATAGACGGGACGCGACTGGAACCCGCGACTTTGGGGAAACCAAGCAAGGAGACTCCAGCGGTGGCGACGAGGGCCGCCAAGGAGGCCCAGAAAGGGGGAAACGGGCGGAGGGTAGAGGTATGAGCATTCTTCTGGGACGCATAAGGCCATACTAATACTACATGTTCTCCCCCAAACATATATATACCCATCTTGTAGTACATCGTTTCCCGAGCGGTGTGGCCAGAACGCACCCGCCACGACGCACATACTGTAAGATTTCTTGGTGCGCGCGTCGACCCCGGGGGGGCGACGCACATATGATAGAAGTATGTTGGGGGGACGCCGATTTCTGAGCATTTTCTTAGGGTGGAGGGCTCAGGGTGAAATCCATATGGGCTTTTGCACCTCGAAAATCAATCCGTCTTGTGATTCACTTCTTGCAGATTCAAACCTCGAAAATCAATCGAAACGGCAATTCAGATTTCACCCTTTACCCTTCACCCAACAAAAATGCTCGGGATGTTCCTCCTCTGAGTACCCAGCAGGGCCGACTGCCTCGCGCGGCGGCGGCCCCCAGGGAGGACGGGACGAGCGGCCCCCGGGGGGGGCGTGGGGCGGGGCCGCCCCGGCAGGACTCGAGCAGGGCATCGACTGCAGCATCGAGCTACCCCGAGCATCGATCTCCGCGTCGAACCCAGGAACAAAAACTGCATAGAATAGCAAAAATAATCTGCGGGGAACTGCGGGTAACGGGCCAGAGGCGTGCTAAGATCTCCGGTAACTGGTTAACAATTTTCTAGTTCGCGCGCGCGGGGCGGCCCCTGGGGGTCCCCGGACGAAAAGTACCCCGACCAGGTCCCGGCCGGGTCCCCCCGAGCGCTCCATGAGCGCACCAACAGGGCTCCGAGACGTCCCCGAGAGCCCCAAGAAAGGCCAAGAGGCCCCCAAGAGGCCCCCAAGATGGTACACGAGGGGTCCGACATGCCACAAGATCGCTCCAAGACGCCCAAGATAGCCCCCAGACGCCCCAAGAGGCCTCCAAGAGCACTCCCAATAGGGCCCCCGGAGGCAAAAATCATTGTTTTTCCATAGGTTTTTGAGAGATTTTGGAGCTTCCACCTTTTCGGCTTCCCGACGCCCCAAGACGGCCCAAGAGGCCCCCAAGATCGCCCCAAGAGGGCCCAAGAGGCACCCAAGAGGGCCCCAAGATGGCCCAAGAGGGCTCGAAGACGGCCCAAGAAGCCTCCAAAACGGTCCAAGAGGGCCCCAAGAACGCCCCCAAAGGGGCCCCAGAGAGGGAACACGAAACAACATTTCGAGCCCTCGGCCCTAAGAAGCCCCTACGAGGCCCCTAAGAGGCCCCAAGAGGCCCCCACGGGGCCCTCAGGAGGCCCCCAAGAGTCCCCCAAGCGGCCCCAGGAGGCCCCCCAAATGCCCCCCCGAGCGCCCCAGGAGTCCCCCAAGCGGCCCCAGGAACCCCCAAAGCGCCGCATTGACACCAGGCCCTCGGGCAAACGGCAGACATGAGACTGTATGGGCCGGCGGAATGAGCGAAGCGATTAAATAATCTGCGGGGAACTGCGGGTATGCTTCGCAGATCCAACGGGAAATCCATGTGAGGGCGCATCGATTCCGCAGTCGATCTCCAGCTCGAAGGGCGGCGCGGCGGCAGCCCCCGCGCTGGGGGCCTTGGGCGGGGCGAGAAAACACACGAGCAGCGAGGTGCGTCGCGCCACGCTTCAACGGCGGAGAGCCCGGGGCGGGCAGTGAGCGGGGGAAGGCCTTCTCCAGAAGGCTCGGCAGTCCCCCGGGCCTCCAAGGGAAGCTCTCGACGCCTCCCCCGAAGACACGGGGAACTCCTTTCGAAGGGCGCGGGGGCCTCTGATCTGCACGCACGAAATGTGTACTGAAAGAATGGGTACAATGCCCAACAGCAGTTCCTGTTCATTTTGAACAGGACTCGCTGTTCGCGCCGCCGCGGCCTGTTTCCATTTGAGACAGAAGGCCGCCTGCCCAACAGCGGCCGCTGTTGGCCTGGGACAACATTTGTTGTTGGGCATTGTACCCATTCTTTCCGTGCCCATTTCGGGCGTCCAGATCTGAGAAGTCCCGCCGCCTTCTGAGAGGGGCTTCGCCCTCTCACTTCCCCCCCTCGCTCGCCGCCAAGCGGTAACACCGCGACCCGCCTTGCGGAGGGTGCACCCGTGAAGCTGCAACGCTCCGCTACGCCCTCCCTCCCTCCCTTTCCCTCCCCGCCCTAAACTCCTCCCCTCCCCCCGGCCAGCAGATCCCCTGCTGGAGGCACAGCGTACACAAGGAGGTCTCGAGGGTCCGCGTGCACGCTTCTTGGATCGGCGCCGGAACCACTCCCTGGCGCGCGGAGCGCGCCAGGGGCAGCCCAGCGCCCGCCGCCCGCCGATGGATCAGCGATAGGCTAATGTCGGGCGTGTCCCCCTACAGGGGGATTTTCGACGAAAACACAAATACTAATAAAAAATACTCCCAAATTATAAAAAAATACTCCAACAATGGTCCCCAGACGATTTTTTTTTACTATTCTTGCACATTCCCCCTGTAGAGGGACAGGCCCGACTTCACGACAGCAGCTCCTGGCAAAAGCAGCCGGAGCTCCTCCCTGGCCCACAGTAGCCGGAGCTCGCGCCCCTCTGCCGTGTCGAGCTGCCTCGCCCGCGGCCCGCCTGCGTCTCCCGCGGCCTCGTCCAGCATCACGCGGCGCTGGAGCGACATGGCTCGCCTGCCGCCGGGCCGCAGGGGCCCGCCGCCGCGACGGAGCGGGCGGGACGGACGACACTTGGCGGCGAGCCCAGCGCGAGGCGGGGAGTTGTCCACATCCACCGCCTGGGAACCGACGTCCTGGTGCCCCAGCGGGCGGTGGGTATGGATATAGCTCGGCCCCCGGGGCCTGGCGACATGTCCATATCCACCGCCCGCCGAGGCTCCGAGAAGTGACCCTCCAGGCGGTGGATATGGGCAAGTTCCCGCCTCGGACCCCAGAGGGGGAGTGAGAAGGGGAAGGCCTTCTCAGACGGCTCGGAAGTCCCCTGGGCCTTCGGAGAAGTTTTCGAAGCCTCCCCCGAAGGCACAGAAGACCTCTCAGAGGGCGCGGGGGCCTCTGAGAAGTCCCGCCGCCTTCCGAGAGGCCCTTCTCTTTCTCACTTCCCCCCTCGATCGCTGCCGAAAAGACGAAAGCCTATCTACGTGCCCCTCCCTCTGACCCCGCAGGGAAATCGCCTGGTCCGCCGTTCCGACTGGCCTCGGGGTGCGATTATAAGGAGTGGAGGAGGGGAGAGGAGGAGGACGAGGAGGAGGAAGAGGAGGAGCAGGAGGAGGAAGAGGGGCAGGCGGAGGAGCAGGAGGACGATGAGGAGGGGAGTGGGGGAAGGAGGAGGAGGAGGAGGAAGAGAAGGAGGAGGAGGAGGAAGAAGAGGGAAAAGAGTGGAGGAACCGGAGGAAAACGACGAGGGAGGGGAGAGGAGAAGGAGGAGAAGGAGGAGGAGGATGAGGAGGGAGGAGGAGGAGGAGGAGGAGGAGGGAGGAGGAGGCCTCCTGCTCCGGCTCCCTCAGCTCCTGCTGCCCCTGCCCCCCGCCGCCCGTTCCTGCTCGCCTAGGCTCCCGCTGCCGCCTCTCGCGTCGTGCCCTCGCCCCATCTCCTCGTCCTCACCCTCCGCCGCGTGCCCCCTCGTCCTCCCTGACCTGCCCTGACCTGCCCGTCTTCCCCACGCTGCTGCTGACTCACCAACTACTCCTCGTCCTCCTGACCTTAGGTCGGGCGTGCCCCCGTACAGGCGGATTTGGGGCGAAAACTCATAAATAGTCTGAAAATATACTAAAAATGCCCCAAACAACTTTTAAAAAATAGTCCCCTGACTATTTTTTGACTATTTTGGAGTATTCCTCCTGTAGAGGGACATGCCCGACTGAATCCTGATCGGACCTGACGAGCAAGCTTGTCACGTCAGTGGCGCAACGAGAAAAATCCAGCGCCGACTTGGGCGAAGAAGCAAAGAGATCAGGCTGGAGTGGCGAGAGCTGCGGGAAAGAACTGCGAAAAAGCTTCGCTGCAGATGGAAGCCCTCAGGGGCGCAGGGTAAGCGCTCGCCACCAGCACTGGGGGAGATGCCGACGAAGAGACAAGGGAAGACTCGCAATGACCCTGATATCAAGGAAGAGACGGCACGAGGAGAGGTCGGACTATACGTGCATAGCGAAAAATTGAATGGAACAGGCGACGCATAGAGACTAGGGTGGCGCAATAGCATAAATGCAAACATCTACGTGATGCTTCTCTGCATAAGAACGTGCGGCGCGCCACACCTCGGCTCGCCCACGCCGGCGTCGCCTCGCCGCGGCGACGCGCCACGGCCCCCGCCGCGCAACTCGGCCGCGACGCCCGCCCCTGGACGGCCTCCTCCACGGGGCCGGCCAGGGGATCGTACCGCAGCATGGGTGCACCGGTGTCTGCGCCTGCGACGCCTGGATGGAGAAAATCGCGTTCCGCGTCGCGCCGAGTCGCCGACGCATGTATCGGCGACGCGATACGATGCTCCAGCCCCATCTGCTCCGCCCCCATCTGAGGAAGCAAACAAAGAGGTACCCACACGCCTACTCCGTGGACCCCTACTGGGGTGCGCTCGGACAAGGGCGACGAGGGAACAGCGGTGATGGTGTATTTTCCTCCTCTGACCTCTGACCCTCTTGGAAGTCTGGAGCCCCCCCATTGCCGAAGCCAGGACCGGGACAAAAATCGGACAAAGACAGGTCGAGAGAGAATGCATCGGGCGCCGCGGCCGTTCCAGAGCGCTCCCGAACCATCTGAGGCGCTCTGGAACGCTCTGTAAAATTTGCTCGTGGCCCTGGCCCCGCCCGACGCCCCCCCCACTGGCCCGCCTGGCGCGGCTGCAACCACGCCCAAAGGCGCCCGGCCGCAGCGCGGTCGGGGGCCGGGCGGGCCCGCCAGAGCCGCTCGCGCCTCGCACGGCGTGACGCTCCGCTCGGCGGGCGCGCGCGAGGAGGCCCGGCAGGGCCGCGTGGCGACGACGCCGTCGACCCGAAGCCTGCGCCGCCGACGACGCCAGACGGCGCAGACGACACGCCGCCCACGCCGACGCCGACGCCGACGACGCCGACAACGACGACGCCGACACGCTGCCGTGGGCGCCCGACGACGCCGACGACAACGCCCGACGACGTCGACGACGCGTTGCCGACGCCGACGACGCCGACGACGACGCCGACGCCGACACTGCCGACGCCGACGACGGGGAGGGGTGCATTAGCCGCAGGAAGAGATCAAGGCAGGTCAAGTCGGACGCGGAGCTGCGGTGCACTCAGGAGGAGCAGCAGCAAGAGCAGGAGGGCCTAGGCGGAGACTACGTCGGAGGCTGGGAAATGGTTTCGATGTTTCGACCCGCATGTGGCCAGCAACATGCTGCGTCCCACAAGTTGTGTGCGTGTGTGCGTGCGTGCGTGTGCGTGTATGTGTGTATGAGCGTATGCGCATCCAGCCTGAGTGTGTGCGTGCGTGCGTGCGTGCGTGCGTGTGTGTGTGTGTGTGCTTCGGCTGGTCTGGCAGCAGGTACAGTTCTCTCAATTATTGCGATTCGCTGCCTAACACCCTCTAAGGTGATTCAGTGGCCGCCAATTCGCACCAGACTGCTCGCGCTTCAGTTTACCTCGAATTGAAATGCCTCCTCGGTTTTCTCGCCGCTGCACAGTTCGGCTGGATTTCAAATTTTCTCACCACCCATCGTTGCAGTTGACATTGTGCACGATTTGTGCACTGTGCCTTCGGCAACGTTCGATCACAATTGGCACTTCCGTCTACCATCCGCGCCTGAGGATCCTCCGCGCCGACAACTTAAACTGTGTGTGTGGTGTGGGTGTGTGTATGTGTGTGTGCGTGTGCGTGCAAGTGTGCGTCCGCGTGAGCGTGCGCGTGCGCGTGCGCGTGCGCGTGCGCGTGCGCGTGCACGTGCGTGTGCGTGTGCGTGTGCGTGTCCGTGTGCGTGTGCGTGTGCGTGTGCGTGTGAGTGTGCGTGTGCACGTGCGCGTGCGCGTGCGCGTGCGCGTGCGCGTGCGCCTCCGCGTGCGCGTGCGCGTGTGCGTGTGCGTGTGCGTGTGCGTGTGAGTGTGCGTGTGCGTGTGGGTGTGGATGTGGGTGTGTGAGTGTGTGCTGTGTGTGTGCTGTGTGTTGCGTGTGTTGTGTGTTGTCTATGTTGTGCGTGTGCGTGTGCGTGTGCGTGTGCATGTGAGCGTGCGCGTGCGCGTGCGTGTGCGTGTGCGTGTGCGTGTGCGTGTGCGCGTGCGCCTGCGCGTGCGCGTGCGTGCGTGCGCGTGCGCGTGCGCGTGCGCGTGTGCGTGTGCGTGTGCGTGTGCGTGTGCGTGTGCGCGTGCGTGCGTGTGTGTGTGTGTGTGTGTGTGTGTGTGTGTGTGCGTAGGTGTGTGTGTGTGTGTTGTGTGTGTGTTGTGTGTGTGCGTGTGTTTGTGTGTGAAAGGGAGTGTGTGTGTGTGTGTGTGTCTGTGTGTGGGTGCGTGCGTGCTTGCGCGCGAGCGTGCGTGCGTGCGTGCGAACGTGCGGGCATAGGCGTGTGCGTGTGCATGTGCGTGTGCGTGGGAGTGGGCGTGGGCGTGTGCGTGGGCGTGGGCGTGGGCGTATGTGTATGTGTGCGTGTGTGCGTGTGTGTGTGTGTGTGTGTGTGTGTGTGTGTGTGTGGTGTGTCTGTGTCTGTGTCTGTGTCTGTGTCTGTGTGGTTGTTTCTGTGTCTGCGCCTGTGGCTGCGTCTGTGTCTGTGTCTGTGGCAGTGTCTGTGTCATGTGTCTTTGTATGTATGTGCATGTGTCTATGCATGTGTCTGTGTAGGTGTCTGTGTCTGTTCCTGTGGCTGTGGCTGTGGCTGTGCCTGTTCCTGCGCATGTGTACGTCAACGTGTACGTGCACGTGTAGGTGTCTGTGTCTGTGTATATGTCTGTCTGTGTCTGCGTCTGTGGCAGTGTCTGTGCCTGTCCCTGTGTCTGTGGCTGCGGCTATGGCTGTAGCTGCGGCTGTGGCTGTGACCGTGGCCGTGGTGGGTGGCTGTGGCTGTGGCTGTGACTGTGGCCGTGGCCGCGCCTATGGCTGTGGCTGTGTGTGTGTGTGTCTGTCTGTGTCTGTGTCTGTCCGTGTCTGTTTCTGTGCCTGTGTCGGTGCTTGTGTCTGTGGTTGTGCCTGTGCCTCTTTCTGTGGATGTGTCTATGTCTGTATATGTTTCTGTGTCTGTGTCTGTGTCGGTGTGTGTGTCTGTGTCTGTAAATGTGTCAGTGTCTGTGCCTGTGGTTGTGTCTGCGTGCGTGTGTCTGCATAGTGTCTGCGTTTGCGTCTGTGTGTGCGTGCCTGTGGCTATGTCTGTGTCTGTGTCTGCGCCTGTGCCTGTGCGTGCGTGCGTGCTTGCGCGCGCGTGTGTGAATGTTTGTGTGTGGCGTTGTGGGTTTGCGAGTGTGTGCGTGTGTGTGTGAGCGTGTGTCTGTGCGTGTGTCGGTGTGTCTGTGCGTATATGTGTGTCTGTGTTTGTGTGTCTGTGTGTCCGCTACTCTGTGCGTCTGTGTGTCCTGCGTGTGATGTGTGCTGTGTGTGTGCGTGTTGAATGTGCGCGTTTGTGTGTGTGCGTGTGTTGTGTGTGTTGTGTGTTGCGTGTGTTGCGTGTGTTGTGTGTTGTCTGCGTTGTGCGTGTGTTGTGTGTTTTGTGTGTTGTGTGCTGT